TTGGTGTGGAAATGCTTGCCGAAACGCTCCACTTTTGCGTGCAGCAATTGCACCAGGAAATAGTCTGCCGTCTTCATCCTGCACTGGTTTGCAACTGCACCATAAGCTATCCTTTTGCACCGGCTGTTCCTTATCCTAAAATGGGGGGTTAACATATACGGTACCGATCCTTGGATTTGCTTCCATTGAAGTCGACTCCTTTTAGGAAAAACTAATCACCTTTAGTGACTTGACCAGGTGAAAGTCCATTCGTATGTGTTGATGTCTCTCTCCTGAAAATCTGTGAACACTGCGGCCTTCTACTTTGTATACCAGTAGCAAAAAAAAATCTCCATTTGCTTTCCAACAGTAATGCAGCCTGTGCATTTTCCACCCTAGAGCAGCATCCCCCAGATGTTTTGACGGCTGCTGTCTTTATTCCCAGTCACCGTTGGTAACAGGATCATGGGAATTGTAGTCAAACACATCTGCAGAGGACCACATTGCACTAGACCATTGATTCCCAAACTTCGTTCCTTCAAGTGTTTTGGACTTCTAACTCCCAGAAATCTTAGCCAGTGTCACCAGCAGTCAAGGATTCTGGGAGCTGAAGTACAAAACATCTGGAAGACCAAAATTTGGGAATAACTGTGCTAGACTAAGGTTTGTTGTTGCAGTGTGCCTTCAAGTCGTTTCCAGTTTATGGTGATCCTAAGGTGAACCTAACATGGTTTTTTTCTTGGTAAGATTTGTTCAGAGGTAAGATTTGTCATTGCCTTTCCCTGAGGCTGAGAGAGTGTGACTGCCCAAGGTCATCCAGTGGGCTTCATGGGAATTGAACTCTGGTCTTCAGAGTAGTCAACACTCAAACCACTACTTTATGCTGGGTCTATACTAAGATTTACTTAGGAAAATTGTTAGGTGAATTGGTCCAATTGTATTACTCAGTCTAAGCTGTCTGTGATATTACTTTTTAACTTGAGAAGTTTAAGAGACTAGAATACAAACCAATGCATTCAATTATAAACGAAAGAGATTCCACCTAAACATTAGGAAAAATAGTGAAATAAACTGCCTTGGAAAGTGGTGGACTCTCCTTATTTGAAGATCTTTAAGCAGAGGATGGATAGCCTTTTCTCAGGAGAGCTTTAATTGTATATTCCTATATACAATTAAGTTAGACTAGATGACCCTTGAGGTCCCTTCCAATTGTATGATTGTATGAAATATTTGAAAGGATCTGAGAAGTTTCCATACTGGATAAGGCCTGTTTAACATGGTGATTTGTTCCCAGGTAGAGATGAGAAAATTTATTTTTTAAGCTACAATTCCCAGAATCCCCCAGCCAGCATAGTTACTGGGCTCTGTAGTCCAGTCAAATAACTTCCCCAATATGTCACAGGAGTATCTATAGGGCCTGCTTAAGAGGTTATGTGGAGGAGCTTTTTGCTTATTCCAGAGGATCTGGCACTTAGCAAAATGAAGCTTTTAAAAAAAGAGACAGATAATGCCAAAAGGTAACTTTTCCAAGCATTGTTCCAAATGTGGCCTCGTCAAATGTTCCTGGGAAGCTCACTAACAGGGCATTAAGCCAAAGGCTTGCACCAGGTTGTTTGCCCCAGTCCAAATGTTCATTGCCATTTTTAAAAAATCAATCATCTGAATATTTAAAAAATAAAACTGGCATTGACTGAGAGGAAAAGAAGCACCACTATTCTGTGTTTCATACCACCGACAAGCATGTGCAAAAACATAATGTGAGAGTCGTGCAATGTGTTGCGTATCAAGAAACTGGCCAAACTTTTTGAAACCAACGCATAACATCCAACATCTAGTTTCCTAATCTGGGGCTTGATCCCCCATGAAGCATTCTGAGATGGCACCTTTGATACGAATGTGAGGTACCCAAAGGCACTACTCGGGGTGTAACTATTGGAGGGGGGACAAAAAAGGCATTGCCCCTCCACAATAAGAATGCTGCCCTCCCAAATCAATCTTCTATTCAGTCCCAACATTTCTAGTACAATGGGCCCTTGGTATCTGTTGGGATTTGGTTCCAGGACCCCTTTGTAGATAGAAAAAACCATGGATGCTCAAGACCCTTAAATATAATGGCATTCATTTAGCAGAGGGGAGAGGGGATAAAGCCTTGCCCTTCCCTGTAGACTCAGGCAAAAGCAAACTGTTGCAGCCTCTCTTAGCTTGTGTGATTTTGCTCATTAATACCTTTTAGGGTCTTGACCTCATTCTGATGTTGCTAGGCCACGTGTGCAGTGACCATTTTGAGAAGGACTTCATAAGAAAATGCGAGTGTTAGGGGAATGGAAGAACTGTGTGGGTGGGGTGTCTTGCATGTTTTCATGCATTTGGAAGGTTTTCTGTGTTGGCAAAATTTGTTTGATGAGCACACTGATTTTATTTTCTTTAATGAAGGGGGCTTGGGAGGGTCTTCAGGGCTGACAAAATTGAGGTTCCGGTGCTGCGTGCATCCCACACTCTGTCCAACCCTGCTGTTCATTCCCAAACAGGCCTGGAAATGGGGGTCTTGTCACATCCCATCCCAACATTTGGGGCCTTGGCATATTTTTTCAGTCATACTGTCATATCTCCACCTGTCCTGATATGGCTGGAACAGCCCTGATCAATGCGCTGCCATCCCACTTTCTCAAGTTAATTTTTGTAAAAATGTCTTGGTTTCTCTCTCTTCTTCCCCCCCATGTCTCCCTTGGTCCTCAGCTTACTTCATTTGCTGCAAACCCAAGTTCAAAGTGCAAAAGTACCCTTTGCGCAAGAGGGAGAGGAAAGAAGGGGTGGGAGGTTGCCCTTCCCAATTGGCTCAGGCAAAAGCAAACTGTTGCAGCCTCTCCTGGCTTGTGTGTTTTTCCTCATTAATAATGTTTGCCATCTTGACTACTCTGATGTTGCATGGCCATATGTGCCCCAATTTTCATCTGCAAAAAGGTGGAGGGAATGCAAGATGCAGAAGGAATTGTACGGTTAGCTTTGATCCTTTCTTTCATAAATCTGTTTCTGGTGCCAATACTTCAGTGCAGATAGGCCAGATCCTGGAAATGTGATCTTTTTGGATCACTACTCCTAGTTTGCCTGGGCAGGCTGCCTAGGGATTCTGGGAGTGGTCACCCAAAAATGTCACATTTCTAAGACCTGAACAAGGATAATTTCAGACTCTGGTCCAAAGGCTTTATGGAGTTTTAGACAGTCATGTGTATTACTTCCATCATAAAGCATTTACAGCTAATGCTATTCTCCCCATTCTCTCATTCCATGCTTTACAATGGCATCTGCATTTATGCTACATGTTTAGGCAAATGAACAGATCTAAAATAAAGAAATCATCGGAGCATGTGTGTTGTCACGTTTAAAACTTACACTGACATCAGAGCACCTCCATAACCATGAGAAACAAAATGGAGTTTGCTTCCATTGCCCGGATGTTGTGGAGTGGAAAATAAGCACCATTTTGTTGCAGAAAAGGCGAATCCATTTTCAAAATGGAAATGTTGCCGGGAGGATCATGCTCAACCGACTCTCCTGGTTTTAAAATGTCGTGCTTAAAAATAAAATGTGGAAACCTTTCTTTTTTTAAAATACAACTTTTTAAAAAAATGAAATAAGAAAATTTGCTGTGATGACCAGTGTCAGTTCTGGCTTGCTTACAATGAGCCGGGTGCTAATGATGGAGTAGCACCGAATCCATCATCAACCATCATCTGCTGCTCTATTAAATGATCCTTTGAGGGACCCTGGTCTGTGATAGAGCCTTGGATTTTGGCCCTTTAGATCAACAAGCTGCACCACTGCCGCCACATTTCTCATGTTGCTACTCATGCGCCACTCATGTCCAACTGTCCCAGTTTAGCAGGGACAGTCCTCTGTTGTCCCACTTTTTTAGCTGCTTTTAAAATGTCTCCATTTCTCTCTCCTCCTCCCATTTCCCCCCTCCATCCTCAGCTTACTTTATATTGCTGCAAACTGAGTTCAAAGAACAGACGGGGGGGGGGGGGGGGGGAAATGAGGGGAAAGAATCTGACCCTTCTCAGTAAGCTCAGGCAAAAACAAATTGCTGCAGCCTCTCCTAGCTTGTCTGTTCTTCCTCATTTAGGAACATTTGCCATCTTGACTATACTTGGCTGTTGCTTGGCCACATAAGAAATGTTGGAGTTTATGCCCCGGCATAGTGCACCCATTGCTGTCGTATACCAAAGACGTCTTTAACTGGGCCACCAAGACTGCATTCATGGCCTTCTGTGAGCTCTTTCTAGAAAATCAAAATCAGCATCCCCTGCCTCTCCTTTATACAAATAACCCTCTTCTCTGCCCTGAATGGTTTAATGATTAACATTTCAAGTAAGGTTCTGAAAATCACCTGCCTGCTAGAAGAATCAGTTTAGACCAGGAGTTTGCATAATACGTGACAGGCAAGGCTTGACTGTGTTTGGGGATAATGGCAAGTGGGAAGAAGTTGTATGAAGTCAGCTGCATTTTTGCTCTAGGTAGCTGTTTGTTTTGAGCTCACTGGAAGAACACTGGTTTAGATGTAGAGTGTCCCAGGTTCGTTCACTGGCATCTCTGTCTGTCGTTTTCTGAGGAGGATGTGAAAGATCTCTGCTGGATGAATCGTTCAACTGGGATAAAACAGCTTGCTGTGTTATTACCTAAAAGCAAACTTTCCCAACCATTCCCCCCATGCTTCCCACTTGGATAGTTTAAGAAGATGTCACAACAGTATGTAATGCCTATGTATCTGTGCATGTATGTGTGCCTTTAAGTCACCTGTAAACTTATGGGAACCCCATGAATTGTATAGGCTTTCTTAGATGAGAAATACTCAGAAATGGCTTTGCCCATTCTGTGTGTTGTATGATTTCAAGGCACTTCCGACTTATGGCCACCCTAAACCATGGGGTTTTCTTGGCAGGATTTGTTCAGAGAAGTTTTGGCATTGCCTTCCCCTGAGGCTGAGAGACTGTGACTTGCCCAAAGTCACCCAGTGGGTTTCATGGCTGAGCGGGGAATTGAACCCTGGTTTCCAGAGTTGTAGTCCAACATTCAAACCACTACATTACAGTGGCTTTCTTTTCCAGTTCCTTCTCTTGAAATATAACCTACAGGACCTGGTATCCACTGAGAGTCTCCCATTCAAGTACTAACCAAGGCTGACCCTGCTTAGCTTCTAAGATGAGATGGGATCTGGTACTTTTATAGTATTTAGGTGAGCATTTAATGTCAAGCTGGTACTTTCCCCAAAAAATGTTGCTTTATAGATGTTGCTAGTCTGTACAACAACCTTATCAGGTAGGCGTAGTATCAATATCTCTAGTTGCAAGTTTAACTCATGAGGATTGGGTGAAGGACTAATGCTTCCTTAAGTCCACTCCAAAAATATGTATGTGGCCCAGTTTACTCTCAAAATCACTCCACAAAGTGAAAATTCAAGCAAGGCAGAACATGTTAAGTGATAAGGAGAAGGCAGAGAATTTCGTCTTTATAATTTGCTTCACATCTTCCAGGGTTTGGCTGTCATCACCCAATCAAACTGAAGAAATATAATTCAAAGACATAGCCCTGTTAATCTGAACCAGTAAGCAAAAGACTCTTGTAGCCTTTGAGACTACTTGAGAAAAAGAAGTTGGTAGCATAAGGTTTCATAGACTTAAGCCTACTTTATCAGATGCATGGAGTGAAGTGTCTAGGAATAGACCTTATAGCCATGAATAAACTGGTTATATGTGTGAATAGTAATAGAAATGCAAAATGTGTACATTTGATGATGAGGTAACAAGTGTGATGCTGCCTGAGAACTAGTGTTATAATATGTGTAGTATGCCAGGAAGCCATCGTCTCTGTTCAGCCCACTGTCATGGACTGGAGTCTGTGGATATAGTAGCCCCTCCCAATTTGCGGGGATCTGTTCCACCCCCCCCCCCAAATGGCGGCTTACAAATATTCAAACCCCATTGAAAATAATGGTGCACACACAGGCGCACACCCCATTTTGTCCCCCTCTGTTTGCCATCTGCAAATGGGCAAGGGATGCAGATTCCAAGTCTGTGAAAATGGAGGGGCGACTGTATTCCAATTCTGCTCTTTTTCTTTCCAGTCTTCCTTTGTAGTTTGTTTTGTTTTGTTCAAGGACTGCTGTTTTAAGGTCTGAGATGGAATGCACAAGAAGATTGAAGTGTTCTGCCACTGCTTTTTGTGTATTCCCATTCCTAATGTCTGCTTTAGAGCTTGTTCCCAGCCAGCATCACACAAGTTGGGAAAGGATGCGTACCAAATCAGGGCTAGATTGTAGTTGTTCAATTGGTGCTATTGCTTCCTGTCCCTCTCACTAGCGAAATTTTAGGAAGAACCTCCTGATGGTAAGAGCTGTTTGACAGTGGGATATGCTGCCTTGGAGTGTGGTCAAGTCTCCTTCTTTGGAGGTTTTTAAACAGAGGTTGGGTGGCACTCTATTGGGTGTGCTTTGGTTATGTGTTCCTGCATGGTAGAATGGGGTTGAAATGGATGGCCCTTGGGGTCTCTTCCAAGTCTTATGATTCTATTCTATGCCTGTATGTGCTACTGATAGGTGAGTTGTGTGTTTGAGATGAATACTGTTTTCCTTGAGTTGATGGTATTCCCAGCTGATGCATGTGTGGCTTGCCAGAGATTTCTTCTCTGACTGTCCCTTTCCTCTGTTTTCTTTTCCAGTTACATGGTTCGGGTGCGGGCTGTGGTGATGACCCGAGACGACTCGAGCGGGGGTTGGGTGCCCATGGGTGGCGGCGGCCTGAGCCACGTGATGATCTGTAAAGTCCGACACCCAGAGGAAGGACGACATCGCCAGTACCTGATCAGTGGGGAACGCCTCCGAGACCAGACGGTGAGACCTGGTGGGCAGCCTGGAGAAATTGCAATTAAGTGAAATAAAACCTACTTTGCTTCCAAAATATCTTCCATGGCGGAGGTGGTAGGAGGTGGGGGGGGGCAAAGATGGTGTCTGACTTGGGTGTGAAGCAAAGTTCAGGCAGCAAGTAACTAGTTTGGACCTGTAATTCATTCATTCCTGCAAGAATTAAAGCAGTGGCAGTTGGTGGCTTTCATGTCAGGGGTGGTGGTGAATCCACCCCAGGGTTTAAATTGAACATCAGTGGTTTTAGGCTGAACCTATTCTGGTGATTAAAACTGAAAAGAGATTACATTCTGCTCCACATAATCCAAATTATCGCACTGAAATATATTTGGTATGTTTACAGCGATTAAGTTTTCAAGGTTCAAAACCTTGAGTTTTAGAGTAAATCCCAGATCACTCCATTAACTTGCAAGACACCAGTCACCACTGAACTAAGGTATCCCTAAGTTCCATCATGATTATACCTTACCTTCACTCATTTTGCAGTGCTTTTACAGTTACAGGGGTAAAGCCTCACTTAAAAGGTGGTAGTAGACTATTACAGGTTCGATTGCTGGGTCATGTTGTGCCTCATGCTCTGTTGTAGATGCCTGAGGAGATAAAGGCTGCATCTGCACTGCAGAATTAATGCAGTTCGACAATGCATTGACTGCCATGGCTCAATGCTATGATATCCTGGGATTTATAATTTTGTGAGCTCATTAGCCTTCTCTGGTGCCACAACGAACTACAGAGCTCTGGTGCCGCAATGAACTACAGATCCCAGGATTCTATAGCATTGAGCCATGGCAGTTAAAGTGGTGTCAAACTGCATTAATTCTGCAGTGCAGATGATGCCCAGGAAGCAGATGTATATTTTATACCACCTTTGGGGTCATTCAGGGTTGTTGGGTTTTTTTAATGAAAGGCAACTGTTACATTTGCAGGGATGCAGGGAAAGTAAATAATTACCTTTTTAAAAAGTGTAACAAACTGCCTGTGTTTGGAGGAAATTGGAACTGTAACAGTTACTAATTGTATGTATTGTACCTCTTGTGAAGGGCAGGGCTTTCCACTTCAGTGGTGTGTGTGTGAGAGAGACAGAGAGAGAGAGAGAGAGAGAGAGTAAATGAGTGTAAAGTCAGTTGCTCCCAACATTTGGTCCAGGTGGATGTCTGTAGGCAACCCCATTGACAGCTACAGAGCCTTTCTCATGACTCTCCTCTCTTCTCCCCTGCAGACCATCTTGGAGTGCACCCTGAAGAGGGACCTTGTCTATAACAAAGTGAACCCCATTTTTCACCACTGGAAAGTGGGGGACAACAAGTTTGGCCTCACTTTCCAGAGCCCTGCAGATGCTGTGGCCTTTGAGAGGGGTGTGCAGACTGCCCTGGAGGAGATCGCCGAAGGTGAAGAGGGGGCAGCACAAAAAAGGACGGTGGGTGGGTGAAGGAAGTGGGCAGGAGTCTTATATTATGAATTACTGGCAGGGGGGCTGGCAGAGAGAAAAGGGGAAACAACAGAATTGGCAGCTCATGGACTGAGGGGGGAAGAGAACCTTACCCCCAAATGGTAGTCGCACGTGTATGTGTGTGAAGGATTTCTATTCTTCTCAGCCATAAGCCACCCATGAAGTGAGAAGTCCCAAGTTCAAATGTTGACTCCCATCACAGACTCACTAGGTGTCCTGTAGGTAAGACCAGGTTGGTAACTGGTGGCAAGCGACCATTTTCACACACACCCCAGCCTCCTACAGGCTGCACCTGTCCACCTTGTCCCCATAACTATCTCGATATTTACCTGTATTTACAGCCAAAGTCATGATTGGAGGTGATATGATATTATTTCCAGTTGCCATTTGGGCCAATAAAGGGCCACATGTGGAAGTACTTTTGCGGCAGTTAAGGCTCTTGAGAGGTGTGGGAGGATACAGGTGGGCATCCAACACCAATATTTGGTCTGGGCTTTGGACCAAAATGCCCACAAATCACACTATTTTTTTTTAAATGGTGTGTTTAGGGAACACCAGGGGGCTTTGGGAGCTGCAAATGTAGTTTAGGAGGCATGCACTCCTGCTCTAAGGTATATCTTTAGCCTCATTCTTCTCTATGCATTAACAATGTGGGGGTGATTATTATACTGGCCTACCTCATAAGGAGGTTGTTGGAAACCTTGGTGAACCTAGGTTGTGATCCCATTTGGCCACATCCTTTCCCTGTGACACCATTGTGGATTGAGTTCCCAAAATTTAGTATGAACCTCTGTTTCCCCTTTCTAAAAATGTCTCTCCTAAGGCTTAAAGCTATCACCAGTAAGAACTTTAATCTAAAATAGGCTGGTGGTTTTGGACCCTTTTGCCTTTGGACCCATCCACCATCAGAATACGGCCCTCAGAAACTTCCCTGGAATTAGGTCTTTGGGCTGCAAGAGGTTCCCTGCCCATATTGTAAAGTTGACTGTGATTATTAATATTTGAAAAGAACTATGTAAAATGCTATATAATAATTATGAGAATTATTACTATTATTTATATAAGGCTTGCTGTTTTAAATAGGGTTTCCCTGCTGGTCTGATTTTATGTGTTGGCTTATTGTTCCCCTGTTTCTTTCTCTCAGGTTCCCTCTCACCTTCCTCTACTTCCTCCTCCTGTCAGGATGAAGCCGAAGGGAAGGATGAAGCTCTTGCAGTAAGTCTGTTTTCTGACTCCAAGATGGGCAGAAGTAAAATCAAGCTTAATCTTGAACAAAATTGGTGTCAGCCAGGAAAACTGAATTCAGGGTGTTTTTTTTGTTTGTTTGTTTTATTTAAAAATTAAGTTTCTCTCCTGTATGATTACCAATGTAGGTTTGAAAGCTTGCATTGAATAGCTAATGAAATTTCAGAAGGCAAGCTGAAAAAGTTACATTTTGATCTACAGTTCCCAAAATTTGTCCAATCAGTGAAAAAGTAAACTTTCTAACTGTGGTTGGAAAATAGCCAATAGCTTGGGTCTGATCTCCAGTATCCAAGATATCTTGGGACTTTACATAACTCTTCTTCCCTCTTCTTGCATATTCTAAGAGACCATAATGAAATCCAAACTCGCATCAAATAGCTCAGATTTGCAAGTTCTGTGCATTGGTGATGGGATTACCCTTGATTTGGGATTACTGCTAAACTATTTTTTAAAACTTCCATTTAAGATGAATTCACACTATA